AATATGGAAATGTGGAGAGCTGAACTTCAGCGTGGAAAAGGGAGATATGAAAACAAAATTGACATATTTATCCATTCTAACTGCTGGTTCATTTGCACCACTGAGTACCTGGTGCTTGGGACTAAGGAAACCCCAAAACACAAGGGTGGAGCTGTCGCCTTCACATGCTGCTTTTATACTTATTTGAAACATCTCTTTGGCCACTGTGGGGAACAGGATAATAGAAATCATAGAAGTGTAGAGTTGGGGTGGATCTACACACAGGGAAAATCCGCTATAAATACGTAAGAAATTAAACCAGTATAGCAAAAGGAGGGGAAACGCTATGTTAGATATATATATATATATATATATATATATGCTCTCCAGCACCATCAGGGCTAGATCTAAACACATCAAAGAACTGTTTTAGTTAAACGCATTGCAAACTTTGTATGAGAAATCAGGTTGGCAAAAACAAGACTCCACAGTGCCATCTGGCATCTCAGTGTTAGAATGCATAAACAAAACATAAAACGTTTTTTCTTTGCCAGTGTAGCTGAGTCCCTGATCTTGCATGTTTATGATGCATTCAAAGCGTTGCTTTTTGACTAACGTAGCTGAGTCCCTGGGACCCAGTCCAACCCATTGGTTTGTTCCGGCTGGGCTCTTCTTACACCCGTATGTTTCCTTCAACAGCTTGCTTCAGAACCTAGATTCATCGAGCACCGCTTCCATGTGTGAAAACGCTGAAGGTAAGACAATGCCGCATAGAAACCTTTTAGGCCTGTGGATGCAAACGGCTGGGTTGGGTTGTCTTTAAGGGTCACAGATGATGGGGAAATGGAAAGCCTGGGTTTCTTTTTACTTGAGGCTTCTTCCAACCCTCTTCTCCCTGAACCCTCAGATAATTCCAGCACAGGTTTGACTGGCCCAAGGACTGAAACAATTAACTACCAAAGACTTCTGTCTGCTGCTGATTCCAAAGGGCAGGACTAGACCTAGGCTGTATTCAGAGGGGGAGAATATTGCATTAGTTTTCCTGATTACAATGCTTGTGTCCCGTTTTCTAATGTTCCTTGCGCAGAGCATTCAGTGCAAGATGTTGGACTAAATTACCCTTCAGGTTTCTTTCAACTCTGCAGTTCTGTGATTCTACACAGTACCTGTTGCGTTATGGAACCGTGGCTTATTGACCAATATACCAGCATTTTATGCTAAATTGCATTCACACCAGTGGGCGTGATGTGATACAATGCATATCACTGGACAACACTACTACACTTGCATCCTTTCTGTTCCTCCATGGAAACCTCGGGAAAGAACTGAGCGCTAACATACTGTCCCACATTTGGTCACTTTACTCCTGCAATCTTCTGGGTTCAGTGGGCTGCAAAATGAGCGTTTTCTGGAATTAGAAAACACAGGAAATGAATGCTGATCACGTGCTATATTCCATTAGGTTTCTATTAAGTCACTTTTACATCACATGAAAGCTCAAATATAATGGGGAAATGGAATAAACTGCTGTTTCAATGCAAGCCCATTGGCCTTAAGTGATGCGAGGCTTGGTTTCTGTTAAATGTCTTGATGGTAAGTGAAGTTCTACATGGGTGCCAATTCTCTAGAACAGGGATTGGGAACCTTTATCCAACTGAAAGCTGCCTTCCTTTCAGTGCAACTTTCTGAGGGCCTTCTGGAGGAGGAGCCTTAGTTGAACCTGCAAACAAACCTAAAATTGGTTTCTCCTCTGTTTTTTTCTTTCTCTCTCTTTAAATGTTGACCCTTGAAGAAAAGTTAGCCCAGGAGGCTCTCAAGAAAGTGAGTGTAGATCCCACTGGCTACATCTACCTGCCGTGCCCTCTGCGGTCTCACCACGCCATCTACACCTGGGTCAAAGATGACAAGACGTACCCATGCTCCATGGACGAACAGTCCTGCACCCTCCGCTTCGGGGAGAGCACCCCGATGGACCAGGGGGTCTTTAAGTGCACCTCCAGAGAAGAAGGTTACCAAGAGGAAATCACGGCCTTCAAAGTCACCCTCAACAGCGGCCGGATCCCAGAGGTCTCCGTGGCTGTCATGGCTATGGGCATCTTGTTCCTCACCATAACAATTCTCTTGCTATAGACCAGGCTGCAGATCTCTTCACACACTGCCAACTAATTGTCTGTCTGTCTGTCTTTGAAAACGAAACAAGGGGCACCAAATTACCCCGACCCACCTGCCCATTCTTGAGCATTGGGCAAATCGCACCCAATTCAGCAAAAATGGATCCATCATCCATCAACTTTCTCCAAGTCCACCATTTCATCCCACAAACACAAAAAGAGAATTAATTCCACAGCTCCCAATTCTAGAATAGCCTTTTACTAGGAAATACTGAGAGTCAGAGGAGAATCAAGGAAGGCAAGACTTGTCATTGATTGTTTGATTTTTCCATTCCAGTACGATTACCAATGAAAGAATGTTTCTTGAACCATCCTGGACTAAACTCTGGCTCAATCCAACCCCGCAAACCATTTTGTTTTCCCAGTGGCCCTTCCCAACTTGGGTAGAGTTTACCCAGAGTTTATTTCCTTTTTTTAAGCAAGCCATTTTCCAGTAATGAAAAGAAATGCACTCCACACTTTATTGTTACATTTCTGTTCTAGATTCTGGACATAATAACCCAAGGCTTTGTCTTGTTGCATGAGCTACACAGTCTGCGAAATCTTTACTGCTAGAAGGCATGGGATTGATTTGGGTTCCATGCCCAACTCTTAAGAACTGGGATTTCTATGTAGCGAAACAGCTTCTGGGCCTGGGCTGCCTCTTTGGAGCAAATGTTGGCCAAACTTCTGCCTTACTTCATAAGCTGGATGCCAAAACAGCTGTCAACATCTGCCAGAACCCAACTGCCTGTGTGTTTGAATTCACCCGGAACCGGATTATCTCAAAAAGATCAAAATTGGACGCTTTTTGCTGTCGTACCCTCACGCCAATGATTCCTAGCTTCTTTTTCCAGTTTGTCAGTGTGCAAGGCCCAGCCTATATAATGTTTACAATCCTAACAGTGCATGCAGTTAGTGCATTTTATATATATATATAAATCAGTGGGAAGGTTCTGCAAAGGAGCAAAAGGAAGAATCCAGTTATGAAGGAACGCAACCGTAGGTTGATGACCAGCTGAAAGTGGAGAAAGGGTTTTGGGTTTCATAATGCATAATGAACTGAACCAAACACAAGAGGGGCGAAGCCTGCATTTGGGTGGGGTTGATCACGGCATGCTCTTTCCCAAAAAAACTTGGGAATTGAAAGAGAGGAACCAGGAAACTTCTAAGATAACTGCGCCTCTGCCCCAGCGGTGGATCGTATGCCCACGATGCCCGGGGCTGGTGCATGGGGGTGCGCCCCCTTCACAAAATTGCAACTGGGGCGACAGACCCCACAGACCCTCCACACTACGCTTCTTCTCTGCCCAAAAGTTACTGGGAAAATTGGCTTTTAAAAAGTGATTCAGCAATTTCTGGACAATTCCTATGGTGGGGTTCATATTTTAGGTTGAGAGGCGCCATGCATCAGAATGCCAGTTGATGGGAGAGATGAGCGAGGAGAGTCCTGTTTTTGGGATCTGGTCGGTTCACTGTGGGAAAACAGTGTGGACGATGGTGTTAGGACAGACGCCAGAGATGCTATTTATTTTATTTAGCAAAATGTATCCGCCGCTTGATTGTAAATAGAACCTCTTAAGCGGTTTGCAGAAAAAATAAAGCGTTTAATATTGTCAATAAAGTGCAAAGTTTGAAAACAGTTTTTTTGAACAAAATAAACAAATGTTCCTATGTTCCCAGGGTGGGTGCAGTGGTTAGAGCGTCAGGAAAGACCCGAGGTTCAAATCCCGCTTCAGCGAATGCAGCTCACTGGGCCTGACATGGGGTGCCCACCTCACAGGGTCGATGCAAGGGGGAGAGAACCACAAACGCCACCTTGGGAGGGGAAAAAGGGGGGCTATAGATTTGATGAGTAAATAAAATGATTTAACGCTTGCTGTGGTTTTAACTCTTTATTTTTATTCTGCGCTGGGCATCCAGCCACACTACTCAGGATAAGACCTATGGAAATGAATGGGACCTTTAATTGCAAGGGAACTTTACGTGTTGCGCACAATCCTAATAATACTGATGAGCTCATTTCCGTCTCACAAGCCCTAATTCCAAAACCATTTGATTTGTATATTCAGGTAGGTAGCCATGTTGGTCTGAGGTAGTCAAAATAAAAATAAAAAATATTGTCCAGTAGCACCTTAGTTGGTCTCTAAGGTGCCACTGGCCATTTTTTAAATTTTTTAATTTCATATGCTATGTGTGTAACCATGGCAACCCCGTAGGCCCAATTTTTTCCCGCAGTGCATTATGGGTAGCCAGCAACGGCAGCCTCCTATGGGCGCAGCGCATCATGGGACCACTTCTGAGCCACCTGTGATGCCGAAACAGTTACACCTGCGCGAGAGGACGACGGTTAAGGCTCTCTTCCCGCCCCTCTTCCCCCCCACCCGCGGGATTGGCTGCCGTCTGAGCTTCTCCCTTGCCTATTGGTCGGCTTTTATATCCCCCTCCTCAGGCACCTATCCCCACCCTCGCTCACACCCCTACCCCTCGGGCGCTTTGCTTCTTCCTAATTGGCTGCTGCCACCTTTCTCCCTCCGCCCCCATAGTAACTACGACCCCGCCTCCAGTTGCCTCAGAAACGCAGCACCGCTCTGCCTATTGGTCGAGGACTCGTCGGGAAGCTTGTGGGCGGGGCTTCTCCTCGCAACGCCCTCCGGCCCCTGGGGCCCAATGAAAATCTCCTCTCCTCCGCATGCGCCCAATTAGAATGGACTCCTCTCTTTACCCCCTCCCTCCCTGAGGGTAGCGTCGAATTAGAATGGTTCGTCCGTCCCGCCTCTCCCTCCCAGCATCTCGCCCAATGACAACTGTTTCTCCGCCCTACGGCTGTGGCCGCTCCTCTCGGCCAATGAGGGCAAGGGGCGGCTAAGCAGCTGCTACGTAAGCGGGAGGGAGGAGCAGCCTGCGCTGGGCGTCGTCATTCTCATTTGTATTCCGGCGCGGAGGAGAGCGGAGGGCTGCGGGGAGGAGGCGCTCTGGAAGGTCTCTGGGGGTCTCGTCGTGGGGAGGCCGGGGCCTCTGGTTTTGCTCATGTCACTGCCAGGTTTAATGTATATTTTAACTAAAGACAACGGGGAGGGCAAGCCTTGCATTGCATTATTTACAGGCACAGCTTTTAATTTACATTTTCATTCATTTTTCCTACCAGGCTTCTATCATCTTCTCAGAGCACAGGATTCTGCGTGGGCTTTATATATTTTATTACCTTAAAAAAAACCCTCTGACAGATTAGGATTCTCTGCAGATGTGATTTTTTTTAATAGCAAGCTAATAGGTTTTGCTTGGAGAAAGGGCAAGGTTCTTCATCTATATCTTATTTATTTACTTGCTTACTAGGTCAGCTGGGAGAAATGGGAACGAACCAGGATTCTGCTCGGATTTCATTTACGTTTTTCTGCCTTATTACCAGGTTTAGATTATTATCTTGGATTAAAACCGGAGAGCAGGGTTCTGTATGGGAGTATTCATTTTATTTTATTGTCAGGTTTATATGTCTTAACTCAGAGAAATAAGGGTGACAGGGTTCTCTTTGTGGGCTTTTATTTACTTTTACGTTCGTTTTCTTGTCGGGTTTATAGGATTTTCTCAGATAAAAACAGGTAGGCCAGGATTCTGTGTGGGTGTTACTTGTATTTTTCATTCATTTTATTGCCAGGTTGATGAATTAGAACCAAGGCCTTGCTTACATGTACTTTCCAGTGTGTCTACTCTGAGTATTTCCTTCATCGCCTATCACACTAAGAATAGCAGAGGAACACACCATATATTCAAAGCACATGACTTCTTCCAAAGAATCCTGGGAACTGTAGTTTTCTCTTGACATAGTAAACCACTCTTAACAAACTAATGTTCCCAGCAGTCCTTGCTGAAACTCAGGTGCTTTGTATGGTGTCAATATCCCCACATGCGGGGAGGCTAAGATTCTGTGTGCATGTTGTCTATAATTTTAATTAATTTTATTGCCAAGTTAATGTTTTACAGCAGATACCTATTGCTTCGCAGAAGGGAGCCTGTTCCATAGACTTTACAGAAAGTCCCGCTGTCCATTGCTGGGAGATGACTCTCTAGGCTGAGTGTAATTAATAGGTGCTATAAATTTTTTAGGGACGCGGGTGGCGCTGTGGGTAAAAGCCTCAGCGCCTAGGGCTTGCCGATTGAAAGGTCGGCGGTTCGAATCCCCGCGGCGGGGTGCGCTCCCGCTGCTCTGTCCCAGCGCCTGCCAACCTAGCAGTTCGAAAGCACCCCCGGGTGCAAGTAGATAAATAGGGACCGCTTACTGGCGGGAAGGTAAACAGCGTTTCCGTGTGCGGCTCTGGCTCGCCAGATGCAGCTTGTCACGCTGGCCACGTGACCCGGAAGTGTCTCTGGACAGCGCTGGCCCCCGGCCTCTTGAGTGAGATAGGCGCACAACCCTAGAGTCTGTCAAGACTGGCCCGTACGGGAAGGGGGTACCTTTGCCTTTACCTTTATAAATTTTTTCAGTGTTTCTAGATACAAGCAGCGTATCAGACATTTTGAATAAAGTGGGACGCAAATATTTTCTAACCTATGAAAAAGATCGCATCATTTTTCTTCTTAAAAGCCCTACATTTTAATAATTACTTGCAGCTAATTTTCTTCTCCAACAGAGCACCCCTTTCCAAGAAGCCCCCCAAATAAGCTACATTGAGGGGGGTTACCAAAGCCCTCACAGGGTGTGGCTGAGAAGGGCTCTGTGTGGGGCTGGGGAGAAAGTTGTGTGTTGCTGAGCAAAGAGCAAATTTCAAAAGGATTGAGATGTATGTCATGTATCTTGTGATTTCAACAAACGTTCCAAATGTTGGACCACAGCTTTTGTGTTGTTTTCAATCCGTCAGCTCTGGGGTCGTTTAAATAAAAAAGCAACAGGCATTTGGGTTAATGGCTGCTATTTGCACAGAGGTTCAGAGCAATGGTGAGGCAGCAGCTGCAGCCAGATGTTGCAGGGTTGCACCTCTCATCTGCAACTGATGGGAGCTGTGTCAGCAGTATCTGGAGTTCCCAAAGGCCCCCCCCCCATCTGTGATGCAGGTGCTTGCATGGCAAATAAATAAATAATTCTTCCTAGCCTTGCTAAAACATTTCAGGGTGTTGGTAGTGACTCAGGGACACTGGTGGACAGAAGGTTTGGAGCATACAGAAGAAAACGGGCTGCTGTGCAGGGTGTGTCCTGAGCGGTGGAACTCACTGCCACCAGGTGTGGCAGACTTGAATGGCTTTAAAAGGCCATCAACTAATTCACCGAGGAGGGGAAATAAAAATCAAGACATTGGTCATGAAGGCTAGGCAAAATATGAATTCCACTTGCTGGAATGAGGGGCAAAACCAGGGCTGTGCTCCAACCATTGCTTTTGCAGTTCCCAGGGTTATGTAGCCTGGCCATTGTGGGAGACAGATTTCAGTCCTTCATTCCAACCCTGCAGGGCTCTTTTGGTCTTTATGCTAGTTAGGAGTGGAACCTCCAGACACTGAGGCAGTATACTTGAGTGTTAGATGCTGGGGACATAGGAAGGAAGAAAGGAAGGCAATCCTCAACCCTTGTGTGTGTGAAGCTTCATGGGAACATGCTGCTGTGGGCGGGGAAAATCTGTGTTTCACCCTGAGGGCCACATTCCCCCTTTGGAAACCTTCCAAGGGCCGCTTGCCAGTGGTGGGCAGAACTGGGTACGGGAACTGATGCAACTGGTTTCTGCACCCACTCAAGATGCCCCAATTCTTCATCCAGAGGCACGCTCAAGAGTTCAAGGGAACTTTAAAGTAAAGGTAAAGGGACTGCTGACCATTAGGTCCAGTCGTAGCCGACTCTGGGGTTGCGGTGCTCATCTCGCTTTACTGGCCAAGGGAGCCGGCGTACAGCTTCCGGGTCATGTGGCCAGCAGGACTGAGCCGCTTCTGGCAAACCAGAGCAGCTCATGGAAACGCCGTTTACCTTCCTGCCAGAACAGTACCTATTTATCTACTTGCACTGGTGTGCCTTTGAACTGCTAGGTTGGCAGGAGCAAGGACAGAGCAACGGGAGCTCACCCTGTCCCCGTCACGGGGATTCGAACCGCCAACCTTCTGATTGGCAAGTCCTAGGCTCTGTGGTTTAACCCACAGCACCACCCGCGTCCCTTCAAGGGAACTTTACAGCCAGGCAAAAAGCAGAAAACCCTGGGTGCAAAACAGGGCCACAGAAGGGGGTGGCTCGGGGAAATTTATGAGGGCCAGATGCAGGGGTCCAGAGGGCCGCATTGGGTTCCCCAGGCCTGGTTAAATGGGCTCTTGGCCTGTTCTGCCAGGAGTGGGCGGTGGGACTCAGCCCTGAAAGTGCATTTCTGAAACCACATTGATTCACACGCACCCTGGCTTGGCTCGGCCATCCTCTTTGAAACACAATACCTGGCACCTTCTCCGTTTCTTCCCTTCTCCCGAGGTGGTGGGGGGGGGACCTCCGCCCAGGACAGCAAGGTTGGCTGCAGGCAGTTCCAGGCAGCCGTCCAAACCCTTGAGAAGCAAAGTCATTTCTCAGGCGTCGGCCAGGTTGCTTCCACCGTGGAGCTGCGGTCCCTGTCTGGTGGATCCCGTCTGCTGCTGCTTCCCTGCGGGGCGATGTATTTGGTCGACCTCTCCCGCGGGGAGATGCAGCTGAGGAAATTTTTCCCCTTCCCATTTAGGGCGCCTCCGGTAGGGGCCATGGCTTCCGAGAAGGGCTCCTGGAGCAGTCTGACCATGCTGCAGAAGGTGGCCCTGGCACTCGGGGTCCCCGCCAGCGGGGCGATTCTCTACATCCTGTATCGCCGTTACCGGGAGAGCCAAGGTGGGTGTGCGCCCTGGGCCGGAGGGAGGTGCGGCTGTGCGACTGGCATCTGCTGCGTGGGTGGCACTGGGCTGTGAACAATCGATCGCGCCTGCCTGCTGTACTCCTCTCCTGTCTGTGTGCGCTGTTCGTTCTGGGAAAGCTTCCAGAGCCGCTCCTGCCCTCGAGCATTCGCTTGACACTTGCTGTCATTTCGTACGCGCATCCCATATTGACATCTTTCTGCCCTTGGGCTCAGGCGGAGGGCAGGGTTGTTGGTGAAACCTGATGGGTGGCAAGCGGAGATTTTAAGTGCTTTCTTTTTTATTTTGTTGACATATAAAACACATACATATACATTTACACAATACACATACGCAACACACTACCTAATTTTCATAACATAAAACATACCTACATTACTCTATATAATACCTACCTATACTATACATATCAACACACCTACCCCACACGGACACCCACCAAGTGACTTGACTTCCAGCCATTCTCGTTACACTACTTTATTTTTCCAACTAGCTTAAACGCATTTCATCATTTCTTTAATCTCTTCTTCTGTCTTGACTTTACTCTCCTTCCACGCTAATCATTTTCTGGATTCACTCAGTATCTGTCAGAAATTCTACTTTTTCCACATAAATGTTGATGTATTCCTTAAAGATAGCCCACTCCTTATTCACTTTTTGTATCGTTTATCCTCCCTGTTAGTTCGGCAATATGGAAGTATTCCATCCTTTTAGATAACCAGCCTGTTTTAGGTGGGACGCTGCTGCTTTTCCAATTTTTGGCAATCAGCGACCTTGCCGCTGTAGTTGCATACATAAATATTTATGTAAGCTTTTAAGTGCTTTCAGCCTATTCTTGCTTGGAAGTTGAGTCCAGCCATGTTCAGTGGAGCCTCCTGATGCCCCACTTGGCACGTGTTGGGTCAGAACCAGGAATTCAAGGACCCCTTCTGAAATACCGGCGAGAGCGCAGACTGCTTTGGTGCTTGCTCTCTGCTTTTCCAACTTACTGGTATCCTCCTCCCTCACCCCAGCAAGGAAAGTGCTGGGTCCCTATAGACAGGTTCATACAGAATTGGGGAGCTGGAAGGAACCCAAAGTGTCCTCTAGTCTAACCCCTTGCAATGCGTAAGAGTTTGTTTTCCCCTCTCAAAAAGCACTGTGCTGTGTTAAGGAGACGCCGTGAAGGCTTGCAACACAGGGAAAGCGCAGCCGCCGTGTGAATTATTAACAGTACTGTACTAATAAAAATTGGCCAGGTTCACCATTCCCCATCCTTATTTCTTACCCTGCTCCACGGGGGTAGCAGTGTTGGTGAAGAACATTATGGGAGCCCTTAATAATAATAATAATAAATTTTTATTTATACCCTGCCCTCCCCAGCCAGAGCCGGGCTCAGGGCGGCTAACACCAGTAAAATTACAATAAAAACATAATGGGGGGGGGGGGAGCAAATTTTAAATACAGGTGGATCAGGCCCATCTAGCCCACATCACAGGGGCCAACCTATAAGCAGGCCCTCAAAAGCAAGAGCAACCCCCCGCCGTGGTTTATGTCCATCGGTATTGAGCCTTGCCGCTTCCAACCATGGAGAACAGAGTATAACAGCCATGGCCAGCAGTCATTGATAGGGAATTCCTCTAGTTCTATTTAAAAAAAAAAAAAATTATTAAAGTTTCAAAAATTTTATAAAGACAAAACAAAACAATACAGTAATACAAACAAAGAAAAATAAAAACAGGTATAATTTCAACCCTTATTTTCTTATAACTCACTTCCCCGACTTCCTCATACCTCCCCTTTCTGTATTCCAATTTCTAATTTATTAATTCAGCAAATCCTTTCCCTTATTTTCCATTTAATTTTTAACCTTCCTTTTCTTTTTTACTTATCAATTACAGCTGAAAACCACATAATTTCTAAACCAACGCCATTCTAACATTCATTAATTTTACAATATTTCTTAAGATAGTCCTTAAATTTCTTCCAATCTTCTTCCGCTGTCTCTCTTCCCTGGTCTCGGATTCTGCCATGAATTCCTCTAGTTCTATAATATCTTGAGAAGATCAGGCCAAAGGGAGCCCTTCTAACCCCGCAACCTGTTCTCACACTGGACGGCCAGATGCCCTCAAGGGAAACCCACAAGCAGGACCCCAGCACATCTCCCGGCAACGGGCATTCAGTGGCCCTGCGCCTCCTGCAGCAGAGGTGGCACAGAGCCTTTGGGGCTAGTAGGTGGGCAGGTCCCCGAGTGCTCGAGCGGGCAGGGAGGCTGGCCACCATCTCTTCCCCGGGGTGATGGGCTCGTGGCTGCTGAGGAGAGACAGCTGCCTGAAAAGTGGGGGGAAGTTTCGGGTCCTCATCGCCTTGTGTGTCTGTGTCTTTCTCCCTGGCTGGGGCTTCCAGAGGAGCGGGTGACGTTTGTGGGCGAGGAGGAGCTCCAGGTGGAGATGAAGGTCCCGAAGGATGCCGTGAAGCTGCTCATCGGGCGCCACGGAGCCAACGTCAAGCAGGTAGGTTTGCTGACTCCCGGAGCCGTGTGAATTCGGCGCTGCCCTCAGCCCAACAGGGAGGGAGAAAACGGCACCTAGGGATTGACCCCAACACCTCTGGGTTAAGGCCAGGAGTCCCCAACCTGCTGCCCATGGGCAGGAAGTGGCCCACGGAGGCCGTTTAACTGGCCCACGAGCCTGAGGAGATTTCACCCCTCCCATATCCAAGAATCTCCTGAGGAGTCTGCTGATTCTCCAGAGAGGAGGAGGCATGTTCTGCTCTGTACTTATTCTGCTCCAGCACCACATCAAAGAGTCAGTCAGTCAGTGTGTCGGAGAGAGAGAGAGAGTTAGAGAGAGATTGTGTGTTTAGATAAGGTTGCTGCTAAGAGCAGCTGCAGACACTCAGTGCGGTTCAGCATTCATTTATGCTTAGACCTATTTAGCTCTGTATATAGTTTGTATAGTTGTAGATAGAATAAAAGAAGATATTCTACAGAGCTGCTCTCCGACTTGTTTATATACTCTGCTATACTCTGCTGTGCGACGACTGTCTTCTTGTTGGAGTGAATCCGGTGCTCACAGCTCTGAGCTGTGAGTCCACAGCACTTTGACCTGTTCCTGTGCAGAAGGTGGTCTCTGGAAGTGCTACCCAGCTTGCCTAGCCCAGTCAGGGCTGAAGTGGATGAGTCCAGTTAGTGGCACTGGCTCAAGGGTGATGCTGACAGAGCCACCCCCGAACTGAGCTGCCCGCTTGGCGAGTCCCTGCGTACTGTGCTAAACCGGCGGAGCAGGGACTCTCTTCCGCGGCCCCAGAAATCACATCTGCACATGCCCAGACACCGGAAATCGTGTCAGCACATGTGTGCGGTGCCGAAAATCGCTTCTGCGTAAGTGCGAGTTTCAGCATCTGGGCATGCGCAGATGCGATTTCCGGCGCTGCGCTGTTCTGGACCACAGAGGATCTCCGTGGTAGTGATCCAGCCCCTGCCCAGTAAGCCTTGCCGACCCCTGGTTAAGGCCCTTGCCGGGTTACTGTTCCCCAGAGTTCCCCACAAAGGGGGGATCTGTAGTGGCAGGAAAGGGTAGCTATATGAGGGGAGCAGCAGGGGTTTCCTAACAGCTTGCTTAACTAACTGCGGCCCCCAGGATTCTTCTGAGGTAAGGCATGACTCCTTAAATTGGTATCGTGGTGCTTTAAATGTTTGGTGTGAATGCAGCCTTTGTTTCTGCATCTCCTTGCAGAAATCGGCAGGCAAGAGGATATCGGGACCAGGCTAGAATTATTTATTAAGGCTAGAATTAAAAGAATTCTGGGAGCCGTAGTTTCAGGGTGCTGAGGGAAGTCAGGAGGCGCCCTGTTACACCTTCACAGAGCTGCAGTTCCCAGAGGGCTTTAAAAACCCCTCCGTCTTCGTAGCTCTGGGAGGGAAATGGAGGGGTGTCCCCTAACAACTCATACCCACTCTGAACAACCAACAGCTCCCAGAATCCTTTGAGGGAAGTGGCGACCGTTTAATCCTCAGGCTGGTGTGATTGGGGCCTCTGCCGCCATCTATAAAATTGGATGAGGCCCCCACCATAGAGGCTGCTGGGAACCGGGCACCCTGCAACCCGGCCCGGCCATCACTGTTTTGGAGATTGCTGAGGCTGAAGTGCCCCGTACCCTCTCTCCGCAGCTGCGGAAGGAGACCCAGGCCCGCATTGACGTCGACGTGGAGGATTGTGGCGAGGAGCGCCTGATCCGCATCTGTGGCTCCGCTGTCCAGGTGTGCAAGGCCAAAGCCGCAATCCACCAGATCCTGGAGGAGAACATGGCTGTGACGGAAAAGATCCTTGTGCCCCAGCGTGCCGTGGGGCGCATCATTGGTAATCCCTGTTCTGCGTCCTCTAAATCCCTCAAAACTTTCTTACGCTTTGCTTTTATTTTTAATATGCTTTTAATTAAGTTTTCATGTCATATACACAAACAAAATACACTGATATTTCATATCCTTTTATATCTATCTATCTTTTCGCTCTACAGAGCATTGACTTCCCTCTCTCCCTTCCGTAGGTTTTCTTATTCCAATCTCTGATCCGCAGTTCCTTAGTAATATCTAAACCATGTCATAAGGTTTATTTCAGCCCTGCTAACGTCTTCAAATTTCTACTTATTCTCACTTATATAGTAAACAGGGCAAATATTTTGCAGCCCGTAGATTAGCTTCTTTGGGCCTATATAGTTTTGTATTTTTCGCCCTATAGGACGCACTTTCCCCCCTCCAAAAATGAAGGGGAACTCTGGGTGCGTCCTATGGGGCGAATGCAGGCTTTCGCTGAAGCTTGGAGAGCGAGAGGGGTCGGTGCGCACTGACCCCTCTCGCTCTCCAGGCTTCAGGAAGACACCCGCAGCCTAGGCAGCCCTGCGGGAGGTCCCGCAGGGATGTCTTGGCTGCGCATAGCAGCCTGCTTCCCGGAGCGTCGGGCACCCTGAAAGCAGAGCGCCCGGCGCTTCGGGAACACATCTGCAGCGTGGGGAGCCCTGCAGGAGTTCCCCGCAGGGCTCCCCACGCTGCGGATAGCAGCCTGCCGCCCGGCGGGCGGGACGCCCTGAAGCAGAGTGCCGCGCGCGCCGGGCAGACATCGGCCAGCCCTACAAGCTCGGGGGACAGCAGGTAGGCGCAGCGCCGCCATCCCGCTGTTCCTTGACCTGGTTCGGTTTCCCCGACCTGCTTTTTTGGGGGGTGAATAAGGGGGAAAAAATCCCTTTATTTCCCCCCCAAAAACTAGGTGTGTCCTATGGGACGAAAAAAACAGCAGTATTTGGAGCATTTGGTGCCCTCCGCTTCAGGCATAAAGGCTCCAGGAGTGGTTTACATATGGTCAAAAGAAGACAAGCCCTACCTCTGAGCTTTCGATCTTTTTTTTTTTTAAGGACAGCACACAAGGAAAGAGGAACTGGGAGGGTAGAGGAAAACAAAAGCCAACGCTCAGGCACCGATTTCTAAACAGCTGCTCCAATAACCAAATGGGCCTCCGGCGAAGCTGATGGAGGGAGCCTTCCTCTTCCAGTCTCTCCCAGTGCTGCAATGGAGGGGCCCTCAAGGGACGGCGGAGGGGACAGGACACGATCCTTGCAGTTTCTGCTAACCTTTTCTCGTCCCCCAGGCAGGGGCGGGGAGACAGTGCGAGCCATCCACCAGAGCACGGGGGCCAAGATCGATTGCGACCGCGAAGGGAGTTTTTCGCTCACCCGCCAGATCACGCTCTCTGGGACTCGCAAGGAGGTGCTGGCAGCTAAGGTGAGCCTCCTGCCCTGTTCCCCAGCTGCCGGCATCGTTCTGTGAGGTTGTGGTGGGCGGCCCCGATTCAGTCTTGCCATGTGCTGGGATCCTGGCCCCGAGGAGGCCTGCCTTGCACCCTATGAAACCGCAGGCATAACCTCCTTTCTAACCTCCCTTCCAAAGACTCCTGGGAAGTGCAGTTTAAGGGTGCTGGGAGTTGTAGTTCTGTGAGGGTTAAACTACAGTTTTGGGATTCTAGAGGTAAATATGTGGTGTCTATGCCAGTTCAGTTTCAGAAAGTGGCGCTGTTGGATTTTTCGTTTTTATGGGGGGGGGCGAGAAGCTTCTCTGTGAAACTCATTTCCTTTTTTATAATTATTTTTATTAGTTTTCAGTTTTACTAGTTTTTCAGTTGTAATTGTAATTAAGTGCAACTTATTTCCAAGGCTGGGTTTTATGGTTAAGCATGGCTGCTACTATACTAGGCTCCTTGTTCCTTTTTCTAAAAAGATTTTTGGTTCCTTATATGGCAGAGGTGAGAAAGTTTCATTCCCTCCTCTCCCTCTCTCATTCATTCTCTCTCTCTTTCTCTCTCTCTCTCACACACACACATAATGATGATGATGATTAATAATAATAATTTATTATTTATACCCCACCCACCTGGCTGGGTTTCCCCAGCCAATCTGGGCGGCTTCCAACAAAAGATTAAAAATACATTAAAACCTCAGTCATTAAAAACTTCCCTAAACAGGGCTGCCTTCAGAGGTCAGATAGTTGTTTATTTCTTTGACATTTGGTGGGAGGGCGTTCCACAGGGCGGGTGCCACCACCGAGAAGGCCCTCTGCCTGGTTCCCTGTAACTTTGCTTCTCACAGGGAGGGAACTGCCAGAAGGCCCTCGGAGCTGGACCTTCTGATCGGCAAGTCCTAGGCCTCTTCAGGGGTGCAATTCCTTGGCCAGCCAGGCTGCAAGCTGAATCGGGACCCCTGAAATACGTTGGGAGCCAGTTCCGACTGCAGCCTGCCCTAGACAAAGGGAACTCGCACCCGGCCCATCAGCATCATTTGGCTACTCTTCCAAATCTCCCGTAGAAACTGATCGCGGAGAAGGTTTTGGAGGATGAGGCCTTCCACAAGAAACTCTCGCACTCGGCTTTGGCCCGGTCCCAGCGGAAGCAGCCTTTGGGCACGAGGAAGGAGGACGCTGGCGGCAGCGGCGATCGAAGGGGAGATCTTCCTTGCACCGGAGAAGCTTTCCATCAGCCGCTGGGGACCCCACGCCAGGAAGGAGCTGCTGGGAAGTTCCCAGAATACCCCCCCGAGGAGCCACAGGAGCTGAGGAGCGAAGGCGGCTCCTCCGAGGAGTCCTTATCAGAAACCTCTTGCCTGAGCTATGCTTTTGAAGGTAAGTGGAACGAGGCAGCCTTTATATCTCTCTTTAAAATAATAATTTCCCCTTCCCCTCCTTTGCTGTTGTCCAGCTAGCCCATTCAGAGGTAGGCTGCCTCTGGAGCTGGAGGTTCCATTTAATTTTCAACTGTTGGTCGGCTTCTCTGTCAGCTTCTCTGTTCTCTTCCTTGACGCTTTAGAAGCCATCTTAAGATGGTGGGCAGCCCCATACCAATAATAAGAATAAGAATAATAATAATAATAATAATAATAATAATAATAATAATAATAATATTTTTTATTTATACCCCGCCCTCCCCAGCCAAGGCCGGGCTCAGAGCGGCTTACAAGCAATAATAAAAACAAGAAGAATGATTACAACTTAAAAACAAAAATAAAATACAACATTAAAATAATGGAACATTAAAATATTAAAATGTAGCCTCATCGCAGGAGGAGAAAGGAAAAGGAAAAAGAAAGAGAGGGAGGGAGGGAATCAAATTGGCTCCAAGCCAAAGCCAGGCGGAACAACTCTGTCTTACAGGCCCTGCGGAAAGAATCAGATCCTGCAGGGCCCTGGTCTCATGAGGCAGAGCGTTCCATCAGACCGGAGCCAGAGTTGAAAAGGCCCTGGCTCTGGTTGAAGCCAATCTAACTTCCTTAGGGCCCTGGACCACTAGGGTGTTGTTATTTATGGACCTTGAGGCTCTCCGTGGGGCATACCAGGAGAGGCGGTCCCGTAGGTACGAGGGTCCTAGGCCGTGAAGGGCTTTAAAGGTCAAAAGCAGCACCTTAAATCTGACCCTGTACTCCACCGGGAGCCAGTGCAGCTTGAAAAGCACTGGGTGAATATGCTCCCATGGCAGAGACCCCGTGAGGAGCCTCGCTGCAGCATTCTGCACCCGCTGGAGTTTCTGGGACAGCTTCAAGGGCAGCCCCGCGTAGAGCGAATTACAGTAGTCAAGCCTGGAGGTGACCGTCGCATGGATCACTGTGGCCAGGTCGGGGCGGGAAAGGTAAGGGACCAACTGCTTGATGCGGCGAAGGTGGAAAAATGTCGCCTTGGCTGTTGCTGTAACTTGCGCCTCCATGGAAAGGGAGGCGTCAAGGATTACACCCAAACTCTTAACGGAAGGCAATGGCACTAATTGGGCCCCCGCAAGAGAAGGGAGTTGGTCCCTCATCCCCATGCCATCCCGACCTAGCCATAGGACCTCTGTCTTCGAAGGATTTAGTAGTGCTGAGTTCATTCAGTTGTGAGGACTAGAAACCTTCCCCACATACAATATAGTTTTTATTGCGTTTCTTCTTCTTTTTTCCCCTTCTTTTTTTTTTGCAAAGTAGCTTCAAATTAAAGGATCAGAAATCAGGGAGACCTAAATTTTAATAAGGAATGGGGGGAATTTATAACTTATCTCAAAGACCATTGTAAACAGTTGAAATCGTTGGATTGGAATATCGCTTGTAGTTTAATGGTGAATTTTGGATGCAATGGAGAGACAAAAGATTTGGATTATAGTCGTGCCTTGGAAGCCGAACGGAATCCGTTCCAGAAGTCCGTTCGACTTCCAAAACGTTCGGGAACCAAGGTGTGGCTTCTCATTGGCTGCAGGAAGCTCCTGCAGCCAATCAGAAGCCCCGTTGGATGTTTGGCTTCCAAAGGAACGTTGGAAAACCCAGAACACTCACTTCCGGGTTTGGTGCGTTTGGGAGCCAAAATGTTTGAGACGCAAGGCATTTGAACAACTTCCGAGGTACAACTCTATTATAAAAGATGCAGGAGAAAATTAACAATATGACCCACAAAGGGGAGGAGGGAATTCCAGAGATTCCTTTGAATCTTGTTTTTATGTTGTATGCTGGACATGTGACTACAATTTTAATCTGAAAAACCAAATATTTTTTTAAAAGGAAATTATGTTGTTTCATGTATTGACTTCCCACCTAGGGATGATGATTATGATGATGATGATGATTTTATTTCTATAACTGCCTAGTCCAGGCATAGGCAAAGTTGGCCCTCCAGACGTTTTTGGGACTACAACTCCCATCATCCCTAGCTAACAGGACCCAGTGGTCAGGGATGATGGGAACTGTAGTCTCAACATCTGGAGGGCCGAGTTTGCCTATGCCTGGCCTAGTTAGATTGGTGTGCGTAGATGTCTACAGCTGTAGAAGCGACTGTTACCTTTGACAATAAATAGTTGAGACTCTGCCGTGTACTAACCCTCTTCCAGAAGGTAATCATGAGGACTAGTGCCTTTTTTTTCTGGTAGGATAGGTTGAAATAGATTTCCCACAGCTGCAATCTTACCTGATGCTGGGGCTCCTGCGGAGGTGCCATCTTTGGGGTGTTGTCTAGGGAGGAAGAGATGGGGGGAGGGAAGCTATGAGTTAGACCCTGACCGCTCCAGCCATCCGCTTAGACACGCAGCGGTTCTCAACCTGTGGGTCCCCAGATGTTGTCGGACTACAACTCCCATCATCCCTGAGCTCTGGCCTTGCTAGCTAGGGGTGATGGGAGTTGTAGTCCAACAACATCTGGGGACCCACAGGAAAGGCTGGTTTAGAAAGAGGGCCGGTCTTCTCCTTACTTTCTGCCTCCCGGGTCTTCAGTCCCCAGCCCGGATTTCAGCTTCCACGCCAATGAGCACCTGGAGGTCTACGTCTCGGCCTCCGAGAGCCCGAACCACTTCTGGATCCAGATTATCGGCTCGCGCACCTTCCAGCTGGACAAGCTCACCCGCGAAATGACTCAGTACTACGACAGCGGCCTTTCGGTGAGGATTTGTGCGGCGGGGGAGGCCCATGGCGTGGGGGAGAGGAGGGCACCCCCTTCGTTCCCTTGCCCGCCCGGTCTGAACTCCGCGTCCTTTTGCAGTGCTAGTGTGTGGGTGTGCGAGGGTCCCCTCCTAGTGCCTCTGTTCCTCATGTAGCCTTCTTAGACTTTACCGATTGGGGGGGTCTGCGTTGCTCCCAGGAGGGAGAAAGGAAGTCAAATGACACCGAGGTTGATTCAGAGAAAGAGTTTATTCTGCTCTCCGGATAGCAGAAGGCACTTGCGCGGTCAGTTCACAGCAAGTCCAAATAAATGAGAGATTCCATGCAGTATATATATATCCTCCAGGCACCCTCTCCCCCCCTTCCCCAGGAATCCAGCCACGTAAGTTTATACACGTAAGTTGACATCACAGATGTTCCTGCTCCTGTACTCTTAACCTTAAAAGGGTGTTCCTGTTCCTGTAGTCCTTGTCTTGGGGTAAGGTCACCAACTCTAAGAGCACTCCTGGCGCCGTTCCCGGGGGGCTGACAAGGTCTGTGCGTCAGTGTGGTCAGGATGTAAGATAAGACCCAGATGTGTCATCCCTGCTCCACTTTGGAACTGACAAGGCCATTCATTAGGCGTCAGGGACTGATAAAGGAGGGAGCTCTGTTTATACAGCTGGGTTCCTGTTATACATTTGCTCAAGAGCTCAAGTTAATGGTTTTTAGCTATTGCACCCTTGGAGAAGGGAGAATGGGATTTTGGGGCCTGTTTCAGACTGACTGCACAGTCAGGTTTTAGATTTGGGAAACCCATTCCTTCACTCAGGCTCCCCAGCCGGAACCCCTGAGGGTGAACGTGGGGACATCGTGGCCGCTCCATACCCCGAAGACCGCGCCTGGTACAGGGCCAGAGTCCTTGGCACACTGGGCAATGGAAACATGGACCTCTACTACGTGGACTTTGGTGACAACGGAGAGGCTCCTTTGGAGAAGCTGCAGCTGTTACGGTGAGGGAGGAAAGAGGCTGACACCTCGAACCTGTGTCCCGATTCCTGGGTGTTCGGATGCTCCTTTTAAAAAAGAGGATTTACAGTGGTGCCCCACAAGACGAATGCCTCGCAAGACGAAAAACTCGCTAGACGAAAGGGTTTTCCGTTTTTTGAGTCATTCCGCAAGACGAATTTCCCTATGGGCTTGCTTCGCAAGACGAAACGTCTTGCGAGTTCTTGCGAGTTTGTTCCTTTTTCTTAAAGCCGCTAAGCTGTTAATAGCCGCTAAGCCGCTAATAGCTGTGCTTCGCAAGACGAAAAAAACCGCAAGACGAAGAGACTCGCGGAACGGATTAATTTCGTCTTGCGAGGCACCACTGTAATCAGCTGGCCTGTCGGATATTCTCTGTTGAGGATTTTTTTAAAAAGAAGCGCATTCATTTCTGTGTAAAGCGGACTTTCTCACCCTCGGCCCTTCATATGTTTTTGGCCTACAACTCCCATCATCCCTAGCTAGTAGGACCAGTGGTCAGGGATGATGGGAATTGTAGTCTCAAAAGATCTGGAGGGCTAAGGTTGAGGAAGCCCTGGTGTAAAGCATTATTATCCTGCTGTTTAGGCTCCCCAGAGCAGGTTGTGAAAACCCAACCGTAAGAGACATCCGCCCCGTGCATTTAACGCACCCTTGCGCCACTTTGAACATGAAATTTATTACGGTCAGAGACCATCTTGAGAAGCACAAATGGAACTACAATCCCAATAGCAAAACAAACATTTTAAACGATCCAACAATGGATTTTAAGTTTAAAAGTGTGGTATGCATATCAAAAAAGACCCGTGACCATTGGGTCCAGTCATGGTCAACTCTGGGGTTGCGGCGTTCATCTTGCTTTACTGGCCGAAGGAGCTGGCGTGCAGCTTCTGGGTCATGTGGCGAACCAGAGCAGCGCACGGAAACGCCGTTTACCTTCCCACCAGAGCGGTACCTATTTATCTACCTGCACTTTGACGTGCTTTCGAACTGCTAGGTTGGCAGGAGCAGGGACCGAGCAATGGGAGCTCACCCCGTCGTGGGGATTCAAACTGCTGACCTTCTGATTGGCAAGTCCTAGGCTCTGTGATTTAACCCACAGTGCCACCCGTGTCCCAGCGATAGGCATAAAAACTTTAAAATAGACTACCTTAGAGAAATGACCCAAAGTCGCCCGTGGATCCGGGTTTGGGAATTTTCTTAACAAACTAGATTGAACTGGGGGGGGTGGTCTGCACCTACAAATCTGTGTGCAGAATCTGACGACAATTTGGGTCGTCTTGTGGCCTTTGCCTAACAGGAGAAGATCAAATTTTTGCTTTACCGGGAGGTCAGCAAGCCTCACCAGCAGGGGGTCAATGGTTTCTCTACGTGTCTCAACCCTTGCACCACTTTTAAGAATTGTGCCTTTCCCCCTAAGGAACCTGGGGACTGTAGCTTGTTAAAGGTGTTGTTCTGTGTTGGGGTCCCCCTAACGACACTGGGCACCCTTTGCAAACCGCAGTTCCCGGGAGGAACCGGGACGGGTCCGGAGAGCGTTTTAAACGTCTGGTGTGGATGCATTTGCGGCCAAACATCTGTAGCCTGAAAAGGAAGAGAAACGGAAGGGGGGGAGGGAAGGGAAGGGAAGAGGAAGAAGGCAAGCTCAGACCCCGGTTCTTAAGGGGAAACAATTCCAGGTAGCCTGATGGAACGGCTGCTGCGAGGTGACTGGTCTGTCTGTGTCAAAAGCCAGATTGGCATCTCTTGGGAGCCGAGCGGGGAGGAATTTCTCCCTCCTAGTGCCAGCAGTGGCAATTTTAATCTGAAATCTTAGCCACAGTGCTGTACCCGGAGCTCAGAAACTGCTCGTGCTAATGGAATTCCCTGGTGGCTAAGTATTGGAAAGGGAATCGGTTACCCACTAGGGGAGAGTGGTTATGTAAGCTTTCAGAATATTTAGAATTAGCCAAATTGGCAGATATAACAAGACAAAACCCCAAAAGTGAAGTGAAAAAGGAACGGGAGTGTCTAAATGAATACCTTAAAAGCCAAGGTTCGAGGACAGAAATCTGGCTGAGTCTGGAATAACCTTGTGAAGTGAAAGGATAAGAAAGAGGGATTTATATCTAGATGCTAGGATAGACATGAAGTCTATCTCTAACTTGTAAGATTTGTGTGGTTTTTTTGTTTTTGAATGTTGGTTTTTGTGTTTTTTGTACTGTTATTTTTTGATATTTTTCCTGTTGTGGTTGTTGTTTGGAAAATACTAATAAAATTTATAATTTTTTTTAAAAATGGAATTCCCTGTCGCAAAATGCGCCTGGAGCAATGGGAGTTTCGACCGCTGCCTTTGTGGCGGCGGCAGCCACCACAGGCAGGCTGTGCGTTTAGCCACCCCCCTCTTCTCTCAGCACCCCCAAAGCAAGTGAAACTGGTCCCCTTCTGATGGTTTAAGTCCTTTCCCCGCTGCTGTTGGCTCTTTTAAAACCGTGTGTCGAGGCGTCTGGGAGGGTTCTTGTTCCCTGGAAGCAAGCATAAGCTCCTGTTTAAGGCCATGGTGGTTAAGACCTATTCCCCGTCTTCTCTTCTCCCAGGAGTGACTTCCTCAGCCTCCCCTTCCAAGCGATAGAATGTGGCCTTGCCGGAATCGCTCCAGTGGGTGAGTTGCATGCTCAGGAACCACCAGCTTGAGTCTTCGTAGGCTCAGGCACATCCACAGAGGATAAGAAAGCTAGAAACTCCAGTGGGTGCAGAATGTCGCAGCGAGGCTCCTTACGGGGTCCCTGCCATGGGAGCATATTCACCCAGTGCTTTTCTAGCAGTGCTGGCTCCCGGTGGAGTACAGGGTCAGGTTTAAGGTGCTGGTTTTGACCTTTAAAGCCCTATGCGGCCTAGGACCCTCGTACCTACGGGACCGCCTCTCCTGGTATGCCCCACGGAGGACCTTAAGGTCCACAAATGACAACACTTTGGAGGTCCCAGGTCGCAAGGTGGTTAGATTTGTCTCAACTAGGGCCAGGGCCTTTTCAGTACTGGCCCCGACTTGGTGGAACGCTCTGTCCCAAGAGACCAGGGCCCTGCGGGACTTACATCTTTGCGCAGGGCCTGCAAGACAGAGCTGTTCCACCTGGCCTTTGGTTTGGACTCAGTCTGACCCTCATGGTCTTGATTTATGGGCTACTTTTAAAATGAGGCTGCATTTTAAATTGTATTTTAACCCGTATTTTAAATTGGTTCCCCCCGCTTTCCCCCCATTATATATTTACTGTGCTTTTACTGGTGTTAGCCGCCCTGAGCCCGGCTCTGGCTGGGGAGGGCGGGGTATAAATAAAATTTATTATTATTATCATTATTATTATTAAAGGCCATCAAAGCCTGCTAGCCGCAATGTTCTCCCTCCGCTCTCAGAGGTGAATCGCTTCTGAAAACCAGACGCTGGGAATCGCAAGTGGGGAGCGTTGCTGCCACGCCTGGGTCCTGTTTGCGGGATTCCCAGAAGAGGCAACTGTTTGGCTGCTGTAAGAATAGGGTGCTGGATTGGGTGGGCCTGATACAGCTCAGATGCTCTTATGTTCTTAACCAAGTCGTCCTGCAAAGCAGGCCATGGAACCAAGATATACAGGTGAAACTCGAAAAATTAGAATATCGTGGAAAAGTTCATTTATTTCAGTAATGCAACTTTAAAAGGTGAAACTAATATATGAGATAGACTCATGACATGCAAAGCGAGATATGTCAAGCCTTTATTTGTTATAATTGTGATGATTATGGGGTACAGCTGATGAAAACCCCAAATTAGCCATCTCAGAAAATTAGAATATTAAATGAAATCAGCAAAACAAGGATTCCAAATAGAGCAATATTGGACCTCTGAGAAGTAGAAGCATGCATAAGTACTCAGTACTTGGTTTGGGCCCCTTTTGCATCAATTACTGCCTCAATGCGGCATAGCATAGATGCTATCAGCCTGTGGCACTGCTGAGGTGTTATGGAAGACCAGGATGCTTCAATAGCAGCCTTTAGCTTGTAAGCTGAATTACTGAAGTAAATGAACTTTTCCACGATATTCTAATTTTTCGAGTTTCACCAGCAACATGCTGGTGATAAAGACAAGTCCAGTCCCCACCCTACTAAAAGGTGTCACTGCCCCTAGGAAGTGACAGTCGGAACTTTTAGCTGATAAAGATCTACAAATTACATGCCTGGTAGTCAGAATTTGCTCTGGCAGCTAAGAAGCTCCATCCCAGCTCCGTTGCTGCTTTCTTCCGTTCTGTTGCTGCTTTCTAATTTTAAAAACTTTATGCTGCAAATTTTTAATGCTGTAAAATTTCAGAGGCTATGCTGTGTGGTTTCAGAAGAAAGCCTTGCTCTCGCCCTCTGCCGTTCATGGTAAAGGCCTCCGGCTATACACTTTTTTTAAATCGATAAAAACACTAAAAGTTGAGCAGCACGGGAGAAGGAAACTTGATTGCCAAAGGTCTGAGTTAAAAGGCCACAGACTGGCAAGGACGGTGCCAGGCACATCTCCCCGAGGAGAGCATTCCTAGGGCGCGAGGGTCCCACCACCAATAATGCCCCGCTCTCGTGTTGCCACCCTCCAGGCACCGCTTGATTTGCGGGTGCACAGTTTTAATCTGGCAGGGATCCACCTTCCAGGGGAGACGCACTTCGGATCGGGCTACTTGACCTTGATGTCTTTTTGCTTCCATGTCTTGAACAGGAGAGTCTTGGTCTGAAGCCGCGTTGGACGAGTTTGACCGCCTCACACACTGCGCCAAGTGGAAGCCGGTGCTGGCAAAGATCTCCAGCTACCTGCCTGCTGGGAGCAGCACCTGGCCTCACGTCAGATTGTACAATACCACCAGCGGGCAGGTAGGGCAGGGTTTGTGTGGCGCCATTCCGTGGTTTGAGCGTTAAGATCTTGTAAAGGTAAAGGGACCCCTGACCATTAGGTCCAGTCGTGGCTGACTCTGGGGTTACGGTGCTCATCTCGCTTTATTGGCCAAGGGATCCGGCGTACAGCTTCCGGGCCATGTGGCCAGCAGGACTAAGCCGCTTCTGGCGCACCAGAGCAGCACACAGAAATGCCGTTTACCTTCCCGCCGGAGCGGTACCTATTTATCTACTTGCACTTTGACGTGCTTTCGAACTGCTAGGTTGGCAGGAGCAGGGACCGAGCAACGGGCTCTCACCCCGTCGCGGGGATTCGAACTGCCGACCTTCCGATCGGCAAGTCCTAGGCTCAGTGGTTTATCCCACAGCGCCACCCGCACCCCTGTTAAGAACTTATAACAACTAAAAACCTCGGCCCAATATGGATGTACAGCCCAGGTTCGCTAGCACCCTATTTAACGGGCAAGGAGAATCGAGTTTGGTCAGGGGTGGGGAACTGGGTCCTTCACACAAACCACAAGCCCCCCTTTCCCCTTCCGATTTCAGGACATCGACGTCGGTGCAGAGCTGGTGCGGCTGGGCTACGCGGTGCAGTGCCTGCAGGATGGAGACGGCGGGGCTGGAGATGGGCCTGATCCGTTAGACAAAGGTGCCCAGCACAGAAGCTTGGTGAGTAATGGGGTCGGTTGATGTGCCCTCCCTTGCTTTGAATAGGTTGGGCCAGTGGCTCTGGGCTGTAGGCTGGCTCTAAATGCTGGGAAGCAAGATCCTAGTCCTCATGACTGCAACCGAAAGCTTTGCTTTTGGGCTCTGGGCTCCAGGCAGGCTAGCAAGTGATAAGAGCACAAGATTCTAGTCCTTAGGATGGCAGCTGAAACTTTTGCTTGAAACGGGGAGTGGGTGAGTGGGGCAGGACGTTGGGGGGGGTGACGTTTGCTGCGTCCCAAAGTCTTTTCTCTCTCTTTTTTTAAAAAATTATTTATTGGTTTTCACATATTACATTACAGATGTACCAAAGCCAACACCATTTCCTCTTCATCTCCCCATACATTTACATTTCCTCAATCCATCATATTATTCTTTTCTCTTTCCTCCCACTTCCCTCCGCCTCCACTCGATTTCCTCCACATTATACAATTTACAATAATCTTTGCATTTTACGGTCTTCTCAAATCATCTATATATTCTCATTATCTTTCCTTACTAATTTTTCTTCCATCCAGTATTTCACATTTTAATCTAGGCATATTAGCATATCTTTTTTTTTAGCAATATTTTGCCATATATTCATCAAAACATTTCCACTCCTTTTTTTATTATTTTTGATTCGACTAATTTCTTATTAGAGCAGTTAATTTTGCCAAAATTAAATATTCCTTTTGTTTACAAATCCATTCCTCCTTTGTGGGTATAGTTTGTGACTTCCACCTATGCTGCATCCCAGAGTCTTGGCTTTGTCCATCCACGATGGCCGTGCTCTGCCTTCACGATCAGAGGCACAAACCCTTCTGAATACTGGTTGGTGGAGGGGGCAGAGGGTTCTTGCACTCTCGTTCTGCTCGCAAAGAGGCGTCTCATCGGCCACTGTGAGAACAGGATGCCGGACTCCTGAGCCATTGGCCTTACCCAGCAGGCTGTTTTTATGAGACGTTTTGACATCGCAGGGGGTTGGCCTAGATGACCGTCTGGGTCCCTTCCGACTCTCCAATTCCATATGGCTTTATGAATCTGGAAGAAGCACCAAACTCTGTAAGCCATATTTCCAGGGGGGGGGGAGAGACAGGAAGAAGCTGCCAGGGCCAAACGTTTTCTCATTCTGTATGTGCCTTGACAGCCCTTGTTTCGGCCCCTAGGGAGACACGACGGGGGTGTCCCTGGAGAGCCTTCTCTCAGACACACAGAAGACCCCCGACGAGATGCCCCTCACTTTGTCTTGCCTCAGCCTTTCCGGTAAGCTCCTCTGTCCCGCCACGTGGGTTTGTGCACCGGTGTGCCCTGGTCACTTCCAAAAACAGGAACACGAGGACATCGGAAGCCGCCTAAAGCTGACTTCTGGGCGCTTGGTATGTGAGCCCCGTAGAGGCTCTCCAAGTACACACACAGCTCTGCCAGTCCCTGCTTTCGCACTCAAGCCTCATCAGTTCCCAAACAAAACCGTTTTCAGCAGGTGCGGAAAAGAGCACAGCGAAGGCGCCTCAATAGGCAGGGAGTTCCCACGGTAGATTCTTAAAAACGTAGAGTGGGGGATAGCACCTTGAACCTGGCCAGGTAGCAAATCGGCAACCGGTGTGTTCACTACTGACATTCATATCCCAAGTTTCTCAAAATGACATTCAACATTCTTCCTCTACCACCACCCCATCCTTTTTATCCCCACAACAACCCTTTGAAGTAAGTTTGTCCGAGAGACACCCAGTCAGCTTTCTATCCCTAGTGGAGATTTGAGCCCTGGCCTAACCCACTAACCGTTAAGCCACACTTCCATTATATATAAATAATTTGCACCACCATTTTCTTTTGTCATGGCCACAATAAGGATGAACATCTCTGGACAGTAGTCTTCCTATCAAATCTTCTGTGCTATGGGGAGAGTCATTTATATTTTTCTCAGTATTCAGCTCAATAATTGCGCTAACGCAGGGGTCGGTGTGACTCCCCTTCCCTCCCCCCCCCCAAAAAAACCCCAATGTGTGTTTCTTGTTGCCCCCAAATCTGCTCCTACAGTCCGGGGGGAACTCAGGACCATTCAGGAGAGAGGAAGAAAGTTCTGGAACAATTTTATTAGTGTTGCATTGAATGCAACCCCTTCTCTATCCCGCACCTTGAATAACTCCTGACACAGTGTAAATGGAGTGTGTTTGGGGTTTTTTTTACAGAGGGAATTAAAGCAAGAGACAGCCTTTTGCTGATTCCCTTAGAAAGTGTCCTGTCTCCAGCTTTGAGTCTTAGCAGCCCTTTGCGAAGGACGGCTGCTTCCGGTGCGTGTTTAACAGCGCCAGGTTCAAGGAGTTACTACTAGTGAATAAAGCCCAAAACAACTCGGCACCAGTTTACCCACGAGATAGCCTCACCCCATAAGTGCCCTGGCAGAATCGGCACTTCTACAAGTGCCATCTACCAACCATTCCGCCCTTGTAAGAACTCAACATTTTTAGTGTGGCAGCAGCTGCACTTTGGAACTCCCTGCCGATTGAGAAGCGAAGCGCCTTCGCTGTACTCTTTTTTGCCACCTGCTTAAAAACACGTGCATTTAGACAAGCTCTTGTTTTTACTATGTATTTTGTGGTTTTTTTATATTGTATTTTTATGTTGTGAACCGCCCTGAGAGCTACGGGTGTAGGGCAGTACGCAAGTTATTATTTATTAGCATTATTTATTGAATTTATATATCGCCCTATCCCAGGGCAGTTCACAGAATAAAACCAAGATATAAAACCACAAAATACATAATAAAAATAAAACCAATAGCTCCCCCCTATATTTTAATACTTATTTTATGAATATTAAAAGCATACTGGGAAGTTGATGCGAGTTTTAATCTGTCTTTAAGCCTATTTCTTAAAAAAGCTTTTCAGAATTCTTAAGATTGTTTGATACCAGTAATCTTTTTTTTTTTTTTTTGTAAACCGCATTGAGGTTTTTTGCAACCAGGCAGTGTATGTCTTTTTTGTGTGTGAAATGAACTCAGCCCTTTTCAGATGAGCCTGTTGAAGGACCTCGGGACGAGACGGAGCCCCCCCACTGCTTGGCATCCACCCTGGAAGGTCTCCCCCCCTCGCTGGAGTCCCTGCAGCTCTCCCTCCCCTTTGCCACCCCTTCGGAGGGTTTCCCCTCCACCCCTCGCCCCTGTGAAATAGGGGACGGCAGGGGGCGCTCCAATTCGAACCCGCCTCCAGAAACGCCGGCTCAGGCAGAGGCGGCGATGGAGTTGACCCCTCTGCCGGACGTTGAGCTGTGGGCGGCCAAAGCGGAACAGGCGTCCACCCCCAGCGGTCCTGGCCAACCCGGAGAGGGGGCCTCGTCCCCCTGGCTCTCGAGCGAAGGCTCCCCGGCGAGGAGGACCTGTCAATCAGCCAGGCGGACAGCAGCACCTACTCTCCCCGGGGCTACTTCTACTACCTCTCCTCGTCCGGGGACACTTGCGATTCCTCAGTCTTCTACTGCAAAGGGTCCCCCTCTCTCGACGACGAGTCTAGTGGCACGTCCTGCAGCCCCTCCAGCCCCGTTTCTGAAGGCAGCGGGAGGGAAGGTACGGTCGTCTCCGCTTGAAGCGGCACTCCTGGAGGTGTCGAAGGGGGAGCACTGCGCTTAAGCCGGGTGCCACTGGGAACACTGCCTGCCACACACGGGATGCCAGCTTCGGTTGCCTTGATCACCTCTGCTTTAGGATGGCGGTTGTGTTCTGGAGAGCTCTGGGGGTGGAGGGGAAACATCCCTAGGTAGGAGACCGTGGGGCCCCCACCAGACTTCAAGTATCAACCCTTTTATTCAGAACCATGACGACTGGGACCTTAGGTATTTGGGGGAAAGCCGCTACTTTTTATGCGTAGATTAATCGACTTTCATTTAAGTTGATTGACCCGTGAAGGCTGATGGTAGCCATCGAGACTGGAAGTTGACACACGACCTCCTGTTAGGATTCTTGCTCCGTGTTTGCAGTCATGGGATTGTTTTCTATCACATGACGGTGTGTGTTTTCATTCCACAGTGTGGGAAGTGACGGAGACAGGATGTTTCGGTATTACTGTGTTCTGTGATGTGGGACTATTGTCCTTTGTTCTTTCTCTTTGCTGTCTGATGAGAAAGAGGAAGGAGCTAAGGCAGAAAGCTCTGAGTGTATTATATGTAAATGAAGTAATTAGCCAAAATGCTGTGCTGCTGAGTCTGTTACGCAAACTGCTAATACTCTGCAGAATCCTTAAGCGTGTTAATTCCACTTGGTATTAGCCACTGTGATGTTCGGGCTGGAGAAAGCTTTTGAAGCTCCCAAACAACCAGCCAGGAGGGAGAGAACATGCCAGTCAGGCATGTGTCTCTACCAGGGTCCTACACGCGAGTAGCACGATCCCAACACCTCCTTCAGCTTTTCCTGGATCTACCGTACTCTGTGAAAGGGACCTTTCCGCAGGCTGTAGATTTCTTTTATGAGTTGCTGAGCTATTGCCTTGTCCTCAGCATCTTGGAAAAGCCGCCCGTTTTATATGTGATCAGCTAAAAATGACAAGCGTTGCTGCCTGCCCTCTTTGTTGCCCATTGCAGCAGCACCCACTCATACCCACGGGGGCCGCTTTGCTGAAAGATCTCCCATCCTCTGGTAGCACCGGACACAGTAAGACTAAACAGCATGGGTCTCCAAGTCGGTGCCTGTCGGGCTCAAATCCCGGGTTTCATCGTGCTTCTTGTGGGGTTTAACGCACTCGCTCGAAGGGGCTTGCACTCCTGGGGTGCTTTCTGAGCACATCTATACTCCCTGTGGCACATTGTCGCTGTTAATGGTAGCGCGAAACCCCCAGCAAACCTTGTCCTAACACTCACTTTTTCCCAACCTCTCTGCAGAAGTTGCCTCTGTCTCGGAGGCCGGTGAGCTCCTCCCGTTGGACAGTGGCTCCCTGACCCCTTGAGCTGCGCAAGTGGGGAGCCCCGATGTGAAGCCGGTGAGTTCCTGGGGTGCTGAGTCCCTGGGAGGCCCTTCCTGAGAGAGGAAGGATCATGAGCGAGCAAGAACCTCGGTGCCCAGTCGATTGGCCTGATCCAGGAGGCTCTTCCCAAGTTCTCGTCTGCTCACTTTTGAGGGGCTTTAAATTTGCACACTTAACATTTCTGCGTACCTGGCAAGTCTCCGAAACATGGAGAAACCATTCGGGGAGAAATGGGCAGCTGCTGTGCTGGGAAAAGGCTTGGCACGAAGGCAGCTGATTTGGGTATTAGAAGGAACGGGTGGCAGCTGTTTGTAAATCATGGGGAATTTGATCTCTCCTCTTGTCCCCACTTTTGCTTCCAGATTTTCTGCCTGGAATTGAGCAGCACAGGGAATCATCGCCTGTTCCTCCAGCTTTGCTCAGTGACTCGGGAACATCCCGACTTCTTGACCGGCTGGGGGAAGTTGACGCTTTCGGCGTGTCGCCACGTCCGAGGGGAAGGGGACACCTGTTGGCTGTAGCCGCGAAGAGCCTTACTTTTTTAAAAAAAGACTTTTGCTCCTTCTCAAAGCTTGCAAAACTGTGAGACTTTGGCAGGCCCAGAGCTGTGTTCTGTTCCACGTGGCCACGGCTTTCCCAAAGGGATTTCCGAGAAGGATCCGCATGTGCTGCTGTTGTTTATTTGCAGAGTTTTGTTAGCACCATTGCGGTGAAGGGTCAAGCACTCCGTTGAGGATCTTGCCGACGCACAGATGCCCAGCTGTGGGTTGAGACTCTGTCCTCTTGATCCTCGGCCGGTACTAGCAGCTGGGAGACAAGCACAGCTACTAGAGTCATCTTATTTTCTGCGGGTCAGCTGGCCTTGGCAGAGGAATGTTGCAAACCTTCTAAATTCTGTTGGCTTTGCTAACTGCCTCTTTTCTCTGTCACAGGGTGGGTAGGGACCAACTGCAGCGACCTTTGTTCATCCGGTCTCTGTGGGTCATGTGTTTCCAGGGCCGTACCATTTTTCGGCTTGCCCGGGGGAACCATGCGAATGCTCCCACCACACCCAGTGCAAATTCAATGCCTCCTTACCATATTGCGGAGCGGGCAGAGGAGTTCTCCATCCTAGCGTTGTTGCATTTGAAACGGATGGGATTGTCCGCAAAGGGCTCTCCTATCCCCCAGCCATATCCTTAAATAGTACAGTCCGGCAGGATTGCATCGGGTGATATTTGTTGCATGTGCTGATGGGCTGCAAGACCATCGATTAAGCCAGGCTCAAAGGAGGTAAACCATCGTTAAGATGACAGGCTGAACGACAGCCGTCCTCTCACAAGGGTGGTTGTAAATGGCAGTGGCGATGGGCAGCTTGACGTTTCAGATATGGGAAGGGGCCAGGGAGGGAGGCTGAGGCCAGCTTAGAGCAGGTGGGGAGAACCTGTGCCTCCAGATGTTGCTGGACTACAACACCCATCATCCATGGCCACTGGCGTGGATGATGGGAATTGTAGTCCGGCAACCTCTAGAGGCACAGAGGTGCCCCATGCCTGATCTAGAGGGTTGTTAGGAGCGGCAACCTGCCTCTGGCCATTTTGGCCCGGGGGGGGGTGGTGGTGAGAGAAGGGGTGCCCTCAACATCTAGCCCTACTGTGACACAAGTCTTAAAAACCTTAGGTTGAGCCCCATTCTTTTGTTGTTAAAAGGGGGTTGGCCTTTTCTCCGAAGCAAGAAGATTGTGTTGTCCAAAAGAGACCTCATTGCCTCCTGTTCCCAATAGGTCAGGGGGGGTTGCCCATTATTATTTTTAAAAAGCATCCTAGTTTTGGACATGGTGGGAGTTTTCATGTGTACGTCTGGGGGGGACAGACAAGACGGGGCGTCACACGTAAAAGTTGGAAGCTCCTTTGGCTCTGTGTCCACCTCGTCCCCCCACAAACAAAATGCAGTGTTTGAACTCAATGTGCGTTACATGCATTATTACATTGATTCTTGTTTTCCTCTCTAAATAAAGGCTCGTTTTTGGATTGTTCTCAAATTCTTGTCAGGAAGAAACCAGGGCTGAGCACGGCGCATAGGTAAACCAAGGGATTGCCTCACGAGCAGGGCATATGGAGGGCTTGAAAAGAGGTTTAGACAAATGGATGGAGGATAGTAGTAGTAGTAGTAGTAATAATAATAATAATAATAATTATACCCCGCCCATCTGGCTGGGTTTCCCCAGCCACTCTGGGCGGCTTCCAACAGAATATTAAAATACAATAACCTATTAAACATTAAAAGCTTCCCTAAACAAGGCTGCCTTCAGATGTCTTCTAAAAGTCTGGTTGTTGTTTATCCCCTTGACATCTGGTGGGAGGGCGTTCCACAGGGCGGGTGCCACCACCGAGAAGGCCCTCTGCCTGGTTCCCTGTAACTTGGCTTCTCGCAGTGAGGGAACCACCAGAAGGCCCTCGGAGCTGGACCTCAACTGACCCTCCTCATACAGATGTGGTACCATGACCAGAGGAACAAAGCTGTTCCGTCTTAACATAACAGGGATTTACGAGATAGAGAGGGGGAAGAGGGAGACCCAAACCACGCTTGCCATTGGCTGACTTAGGAACTAGTCGCTGGTTGGGGGCCCTGCAGGAAGGTAAACGGCGTTTCCGTGCGTTGCTCTGGTTCGCCAGGAGCGGCTTAGTCCTGCTGGCCACATGACCCGGAAGCTGTACGCAAGAAGCTCCCTCGGCCAGTAAAGTGAGATGAGCGCCACAACCCCAGAGTCGGCCACGACTGGAGCTAACGGTCAGGGGTCTCTTTACCTTTAAACAAAGAAACAAACAGGATGCTGTGAGCCGTGGTGCCAGTTTAATGCCACCATCTGGGGGAATCGGTGACCTGCTCATTCAGGGAGCCTGTCCGCCAAGAACAGGCCCATCCTGCCTCCCAGATGGGTCTGGTTTCAGGGTCCTCCACTTCTCATCCTCCTCTGCTTGGCAAAGTTCTCGTTCCATAGGGTAAGCCATGAAGATGACGTCCTCCCAGGGAGGCAGGGAAGGGTGATCCGGCCGCAGGAGCGTGAAACCCAAGAAGCCAAAGGCTCGTAGCAAGTCTCCTTCGAGCGAGGGGAGAAAAAGAAGAGGATTAGGAAACCAAGGGCAAGAAGATCTTTCCTCTGGTTTATCCCATTTATCCGAATGTTTGTCAAGCCACACTTCCATAAAAATGCAGCGTATATACACGCTTACATTAAGAGCAGTAGAAACATCAATCGGTTAAAATAATAAAAATAAAACTGCATGGCAGAGGCCTGTCAGATTAACAGACATCAAAAGCAAGGCAGGGATTATTCCTGCCCAACCTCTAGTGGCAAGGAGTTCCGCAGGGCCACAGAGCTGACCGAACCTCAAGAGGTGCGCGAGCAACCTCTGAAAGCGCCCCACCAGAGGATCGTGGCGGAGCATAAAGGATTAGGCAGCATTTGGACACCAAGCTGTTACAGGGCTTTGTGAATGAACATAACTGGTCCAGTAGCAAACTGGTTTTCACCCTGCCTTCCACCTCACACTCTAACGACAGGTAGATTCCGGCCCTACCTGGAAATGCCATTGGGCATTGAACCTGGGACCCCCTTGGAATAATGATTCCAGTCCACATGGTTCTGGAAAAAATGTGGCTTTGAATCGGAACATAGGAAGCTGTCTTAGAGCGAGCCAGACCATTAGTCCAGCTAGGTCAGGACTGTCTGCACTGACTGGCAGCATCTCTGCGGTTTCAGGCAAGGTTCACTCCTGGACCTACCTGGTGACCGAATTTGGATGACGCTGGACCAAAATGTTCTGGCCCTTTTTTAATGCTTTATTAGGATGGTTTTTTCTGGCCTAATTCCAAATTTGGAATTGGAACCCCCCCCCCTTTGCCCATTTCTATATCATTTCCAGATTTCTGGCATGTGGAATTCAGGACCCAAAACCCAGATTCTGTTAGCAAGGGGGATCTTTCCTTACCCCTGTCCCGTCGAGACTTGTGGAAGTTAACAAGCACCTGGTCCGCCTCTGTATTTTCTTCCACGTATTCCAGCGTTGCGGTCAGGCTAGGAGCAGAAACAGCCACAGGGTCCGTATTAAGCGTTTATTATTATTAAGGGTGCTGATCTCTTGCAAGCAGGGCTTGCAAAGGGACTAGTCCTCAGTAAGGTATTCAGCTTGTGTGTGGCCCGTACCACTGAATTGTGGGTGAGAGCTCCCATGAGTGAATCCATCCAAAGAATTCCCTGGGCCTAGAAAACCAGACTGTCACAGAAAAGGCTACTCTTCTCCCTGACATGCTAGATTTCTACATACAGAGAAAGGTGGTGGTGTTTCCCCCCCCCCCCATTTTAAATTAGAGGTCCAGACATAAGCGCCCCAGTCTAACCCCACTCCTTTTGCATGCACCCCACAATTATTTACAGAGCCAAAGCATAGTGCCAAGTTTGCTAGGGGTTCAAATCGACCATTTGGGGAGGTGGAAATCTATTGATGTTAGCTGCAGCAAAAAACTGCAGCGCAAGGAGCTCTTGCTGAAAATACCGTATTTTTCGCTCTACAAGATGCACCAGACCACAAGACTCACCTAGTTTTTGGAGGAGGAAAACAAGAAAAAAAATATTCTGAATCTCAGAAGCCAGAACAGCAAGAGGGGTCACTGTGCAATGAAAGCAGCAATCCCTCTTGCTGTTCTGGCTTCTGGGATAGCTGCACAGCCTGCATTCGCTCCATAAGACGCACACACATTTCCCCTTACTTTTTAGGAGGGAAAAAGTGAGTCTTATAGAGCAAAAAATACAGTACTCTATTCCATTTCCTCCCTCCCTCTGGCTCTTCCATTACACATGCAAAAATTAGCACCCCATTATCACTGAGCATGTTCAGAACACTCTGGGCTGTTTCTGAAGTTCAACCCCAACCCATCAACTTTTTTCCTCCTCCTGTAAATCTTAGGTTCCCACGGACAGGTGCAGGCGACAGCACCCAGCACCATCTCTGCCCATAAATAAATCCTCAGCACTTTGAGTTGGGTTCCATTGGTTTTGTGCCTCCCTCGCTTTGCTTCTAATATTTCCCCCCACAAAAGCTGGAGTGGGGGTGAGCGGTCTCTAAATTGCTGGAAAAACACTGGGCTGTTTCCAACATTAGTCCTACTCAGAGCAGGCGTCTTGAAAAAGAACGGGCACGGCCAATGTAGGGACACTCAGTGGGTCTACTCCGCGTGCAATGACAAAGCCACCCACTTCTGACACCCAGTTGCAGCGGAGAATCGCTCTCACCTTTCGCGGCTGTTGCAGTCCAGGGCAAGGTGAGGCGTGTCGAGGAAAACCGTGCGTGCCTGGAGGAGGCCGTGCCAATGGGTGACCCCCTGGCTGCCGCGGGCAAAATGGAAGTCCAACTGAACCGGCTGGTCGGGATGTTGGCGTTCGCCGGCGAAAACAGTGAGATTCCCAGCCTGGGCAGTTATTGGGTGAAACGTTTGCAACTACTGGTTAGAAAACACCTTAGCAAAATCCCCCTTCTTTCCAACCTTCAGGTGAAGAGTGCCGGTGACTGATTGATTGATTGATTGATTTGCTAAAATGCCTCCATCCCTGCGCAAGAGGGAGATGTCAGCTGGTTTGCACAAGTGCTGAGTTATGGCAACATTTCGTTAGAAAATTATAGAATTTGGAAGAGGGACCCCAAGGGATCATATATAGCCCAATCCCATGCAATATATTTAAACCAGTCAAAGGAAGGAAACTAGCAAAACAATGAGTCCACAACCTTCCCCCCCCCTAACTCAGTTTGTGAAATTGACACTCTTTGGAGAGTCCTGCTGGCGACTCCTTTGAAGCTGAAAGTACCTATTTGCAAAGCATCTGTAATCCAATATCCACTGAGGGATGATATTCCCACCCAACTACTAAAATGTTTTCAGACTATTTAGTTGAGATTTTTTCAAAGTCTCATTTAAAACTACTTAATGGTGGCTACTGAGTCTTTTATATGTGTTCAATAGGTCTGTGTTGCAAATATTTTATGTGATTTTTATTGTCTAAATTGTGTCAATAAAGGCTGAATGAATTTTCTCCCCAGAGAAATCTGCCTTGTATTGAGTCAGACCATGAGTCCATCAAACCCAGTGTTGTCTACACGAACTGACAGCAGCTCATCAGGACTTCAGACACAGGATATTTCCCTGAGGTTGGGGGTGGGGCAAACTGTGTATGCTACCTTCAGCTCCTTGGAGAAAAACAGTGGGGTAGATATATAATGGGGGGGGGGAGCCCTGTTGTCAAATTTCAGATTGTAAGCTCATTGGGGCTGAGACCCTTTCTGTGCACTTTTGTACAGCATCGTGCAAGCAGATGGTGGTCTATTATAGCACAAAGGGCGGCAAATACGTTCCAGCAGCCTTAAGGGTTTTCAAAATCCATTTCCCAATTCCTGTACGCTGCAAATGTCTGGCATAATGGGGACCTGCCTAACCTAGATAGCTTTCAGGCAAAATTTCTACAATCTCTGCTCCAGGTACCCAACTGTGTCCCCAACTCCGTACTTCTGTTAGAAGCTGGTGAGTGCCCAATTTCAAGTAAAGCGTGGTAGGCTGCCCTAAAACATTGGCTCAGGATTTCAGTGTTTGATCTAGGGAAGGGTTTGTACCAACACCTGACCAATGAGGAATTTGTCAGCAAATGGCAGAAAACCATGGCTAAAAAAGCCACCTCTATTGGTCTGTTCCCCCCCCCCAACTGTATTACCTGGGTTATGAAGGCGCCCTAAAGACGTTAAAGCAAAGATTATGGGATAATGCACACAGTGACTTGCGATCTCAATCACACACAGTCTGTAGTCCGCTGGCAGTAGGAGTACAATATGGGCATGTCTTTAAGTTAACATCTTACATTAAAAACCTGACAGTATCAAATTATCAAAGGCTTTTCACCAAAGCCAGACTAAACGCTTTTCCTTCTGCAGTGTTGGAGGGCAGGTGGAGAGGAGTTCCCTACCAGGACAAACTTTGCTCGTGTGCTCA